CTATAAGTATAGTCTATGCGTGAATGGGGAACTCTTTCTCATCAAGATATTTACTTATTTGATTTATCTTTTTCATTTTAATTCTGGGCGAAGATTTTTTTTGTCTCTAATTCAATATCCTGATTTGACTCACAGTTTCTTCAACTCTTTCTATCTCTGTGCGCCTCCCCCCCCCCTCCTACTTCCTTTTCGCTCCAGGTTCAAGCTCTTCTTGAGGTCTTGCCTAATCGATTAACTGGTGACATATTGGAGCAACTACGTATTAGTAAACAAACTTTGGTATGTTGGAAGTTCTCTTCCAATAAATTTGCAATATTTGGTGGTACTGGAAATGCCATATAGTTATATATTTGCTTCTCTGTCAAATTGGTAGGTTGAGTTAGGTTCCAGAGCAGGAGCTCTCAGACAAATGCTGCTTGATCTTCTGGAAGACCCTCATGAAATACGCCGTATATGTATTATGGGAAGAAATTGCACTCTTAAGAGAGGAAGTGATGTTGTGGAGTGCTCAGTGCCCTTAGAAAAGCAGATTGCTGAGGGTAAGCTATTTGAAGTCTTCCAATACAGATCCTGACTCTCAAATGACCTGTCACATAGTCTCATTTGCTTCTTTTTCCTCATTATCTGCAGAAGAAGAGGAAGAAATTGAGATGCTTCTGGAAAATTATCTTCAAAGGTTATTCTTAGAGAGAACTACTTATTTTGATTGTGTGGGCTTGAGTTTTCCCCCCTTATTTTTGGTCCAATTCTGAGGATTAATACTGATATTGGTCCATTATTTCATGCCGGGAAACATATTAAAACAAAAAATCATTTGTTTTTGTTGATATTTTAATTTTAATATTCTATGTACTACCAGTAATTACAGGAGATTCATATATTAAACAACGATTTTTATCTCAAAGTTGACTTATTTACCTTGTTACATTGCAGATGTGAATCTTGTCATGGTCAAGCTGAAAGGCTTCTTGATTCTGCGAGGGAAATGGAAGATTCTATAGCTGTCAATTTGAGGTTTGAATCTTTGAGTGTGCGCGCATGTGTTTTTTTTTTTTTTTGGTTGGGGGGGCTGTGGTAGCAGAGCGCACCCCCCCCCTCCCCGGGGGATTGTTCCTGTGAGATACGCTTGCTGTATCATCGGGTTATTGAGAGACAATTTTGAAAATTGATCTTAATAGCTAAAAGCGAACAAAGTCAACCTGCCAGAACCATCTTCCCTCATCTGGAGGATTGCTTAGTTGTTCATTCGATGTTTAATTATTTACCCCAGAAAGAGAAGTGCTTCATATCTGAAATAGCAAACTGATACTTTATTGTTCTTCTGAAGGTGAACTTATGCTAGTGACTGTGCTTGTATTCCTCAGTTTTTGGGTGTGTTTGGATGAAACCAAATCGTGGTTTAGAAAAGTGATTCTGGAGAATAGATTCTGTGAAAAATAGATTTTGTAAAAAAGTGATTCTGAGAAGTGAGAGTGTTTGGATAGTTGTTATCAGAAGCACTTTTTATATATACAAATTATTAAAAAAAAAGACATAAGTTAATATGATAATTACAGAAAAAATAGATTTTATGATATATTTTAATTTGAAGGAATAAAATTGTTAATAATATATTTTTTACCAACATAATTAATAATATATAAGATAATATAATTAATAAATAATTAATGTGTATATATATTTATAAAATATAAGATTAAATATGTTTATCAAAAAATATGTTTATAAAAAAAATAACAAGATACATATCATATAGGCTCTCACACTCTTCCTTTTTTCTCCAAAAGCAAAAAAATTTTGCTTTTTCCAAAACCATGGTTTTGGAGTCAAAACCATGGTTTTGGAGTCAAAACCATGGTTTTGGTTTTTAGAGGGGGTGTTTGGGTGATTGACACCCCAAACCATGGTTTGGGTCCCCAAACCATGGTTTGGGGTGTCACCCAAACACACCCTTTGATCTGGTTGACTAACTTTGGATGCAATAGAATGGGCTCTAAAGTTAACCCTGTACATCTGGAGTAAGCTTAAAAATTGGCGTTATTATTTAAGTCAAAACATGATATGATATACTACCTCCGATCCTTAATATAAGACCCCGTTGACTTTTGTTTGGTTCTAATTATAAGACCCCAATTCATTTTTTCTCTCATATTTATGCATTTTTTTCCAAGATAGTCCTTCTAATAATGATAGTTCTAGCTAATACACTTAATTAGCAAGGATATTTTAGGAATAACAACACTTATTTATTACAAATAACTAACTTAACATACTTTATTAATCTCCTCAAATAAGTCAACTGGGTCTTATAATTAGGACCGGAGGTAGTATTCATATACAAGGGTTGCAAACTAGCCCGGACATCAATATAGATTTTAAAATTCATTATTTAGAAGTAATCCAAGAAAGAATGCACAAAATCTTGTCTGCCAACTTCGTAAAATGATGGAACACAAGTTCTCCTAAGAGCTCATGCATACAGGAGATGCCATAGTTTAGTTTAGCTGCTTGAAAAAATATCAAGAGACTTTGTTTATAATCCGGTTATTTTTAATAAATTATCTTCTTTTATCAGCTCACGGAGGCTTGAGGTTAGCAGAGTAGAGCTGCTTCTTCAGGTTGGGACATTCTGTGTGGCAGTCGGTGCCCTGGTTGCCGGTATAGTTATTTTATCATTTCTTTTATCAGCAGCTATGTCTGAAATATATGAACTTAGTGCCTTGTTTGACAACCAAGTTACATGCAATAATAAGCTGCTACTGTCATAATCTTAATGCAACGTAGTTATTTTGATGTGGTGAACCGTAAAGGACTTCTAGATGTCAGAAGCTGAAGCTAAGGCAAGCTTAGCTTTAACAGAGCGCGAGAGTTACTGGTGAAACTTAAGTTGTTCTCTGCGACTGCTAAGATGTAGAAAAGTAGAGATTCGTTGAAGTGTCACATCCAATTTTCGGACTTTTCTAAATGTTATTTTTTGCATCTCTTTGTTTTCGTTTTCAAGAGGCTCCTTTTTGCTGAAAGAAGCCAAGCCTGCCAAGCATTATATGCAAATCTTGTTTGTAGTAATCATAAAACTGCTGACAACGAGTGAGAAAGGGGACTTCTCATGTTACTAATTTCTGATTCAACCTTCAAATCATGTGAAATATGCCTTACATTTAATGTCTTGTGAACATGGAAGCTACTCATTACTCAATACGGTTTTGAACGGAATTTGTTACTAGGGAAAAGCTTGGAGCCATCTCGATTACTCGAGCTTTCACTTCAATGTCATGCAAATTTCATATCTGTCAATAAGATATGAATATAAAAGTCAAGTGCATAGAACTGATTTATAGCTGGGAAGGTATTATGCACCTTGCCTGATACTATGATAAACTTTCTTGATTTCAGGTATATTTGGCATGAACCTTAAGTCATATCTTGAAGAACATGTGGTGAGATATGGTTTGCTGTCTTATTACCTGCATGTCTTGTTTTCGTTCTTCTTGGACATTGTTCAATATAAAACTTCGTTAAATTGCCACATTTTTGGGTTTGTTGCAGTTTGCCTTTTGGCTGACAACAGGTGGGATTATAGTTGGCGCGGTTATTGGTTTTTTCCTTATGTATTACTATCTCAAGGCAAGGAAAATACTTTGACCGGAAGAAACTTCAAACTCGGGTACCAATGTCTATTTGTTTTTATCTTATTTCCTTGCAATACTTCTAAAAAAAGAAATTATTTTCTTTCTCATATTATTTATTTAGTATTTGATGGAGAGCTGTGGAAATTCTCTAATGATATATTATCCAAGTATTGTCTTGACCCAAGTTCCAAGATATCTAAGCAACTAAACTATGGGCTCCCTGCATTGCACGTAGTTCCAGACAGTATTAACTCTTCGATATCTGAAGGGAATCGAATTCATTTGGCAGGCATCATCCAAAAAACAGAATAATTCAGCGCTCGACATATGCGGTCATTGTACACAAGGGTTATTCAAAATGGTCATGAGATCATGTGACGGGATTCACGTGACTCGTATCCCTGGGTTGTATTTTTAAGCGTCTGTATTAGCCAATGCTTATTTATTCGTGGAGCTGACTATGGCTGTAACATTCGTGATCAATGAATGAATTGAATAAAATCAGTCATAAAGAAGAAAATTATTGTGAAGATTATGCATCATACGCCTTTGCCCTAAAAACAGTGTACTGCGTTCTGACATGGAGCACCATCTCAGAGTCCATGGAGTCTCTGCGTCTAGTCCTTAATGATACTTTACGTTCTCATGTTTCCTCCGTAATTTATGATATCTAAATTTTCAAATTAATTCGTTTCTATTTATAAGATTCACAATAAATTTGTCTAAACATTAAATAAAATTTTACCTATTTTATTTTAATTAATATACTCTCTTTGTTATATTTTTCCCATTCTTCAACCTTATCTACCCACTTATATACAAGGACATATCTAAAATAAAAAATTTATTTTCTACTTATTTATTGCTTTTAATTAATTTTGATACTTTTCTTAAACTGAACAGCTTAGCTATTTGGAGGAAGTACTTTCTTTTTAATTTTATGGAATTAAACGGCCTCTACGTGTGTGTGAACACAGTTTATTTGGATTAAACGGCCTGTGTGTGTGTGAACACAGTTTATTTACTAACTTTTATCAGTATCAGCCTCATACTTTTAGCGTAATTTCTGCTCAATGAAAGTGGTATGACTGATTAGCTTGAGTTGGATAATAGGTTGCCACCTTTCAATATACTCTTCTAGTTTTTAATATAAGACTTAATTATTGAGTTGATTTTGACTCTAAATATAAAACTTATTTATCATATTTATTAATTTTTTCTAAATTATCCCTATAAATATTTTATCAATTATAATCAAGTAGAAGAGGGAAAAAAGATATTAAGGAGGATGATTATGATATTTTAGAAAAAACATGTTATATTTCTTACAATTAACTAATTTACCTAATTTTCTTAATCTAATCAAATTAATTAAATAGATCTTATATTAAAGATAGAAGAATACCAAAAATTCACAGGGTTTTCACATTTGAAAAATGCATTCAAGTACAACTCAAAGCCTTAAAACACAGCATTCGTAAAAGAAAAAAAAAATCTCAATAATCTGGAGAGGCATTCCCATCTCAACCTCCAGAAACAAATTGTAAAACGTACTGTGCCAGATCTATTGAATGTGGTGATGGCCGAGTTAGACAACCTGCAATCCCCTAACAAGTCCGTAGCAGCGGTCGTGTTGTCCTCACCCTATGACGGGCTACCAAAATCAAAACCTTCTTCACGTAGTCCATTCTATGTAAATGTGAAGTCAAATATAACTCCCACATTCGAGGATTGAGATCATCCAAGTTCCTCTGAAAAAGATCATTGATGTGACTCGCGTTAGAAATAAGCGGGAATTAAGCCCATTATATTTGACTCCAAACAGTAAACTTCTTTCGGAAATTTAGAGAATCTCAATCCCATAACATAGTGCGCCACAGGAGTTGTTATGACATGCGCTACTTCGCATCTATTCTGCTAACCATGTAGCCTATGAATCTTTGAGTGCCTTTGGAGATCCATCAATAGTTATATTCCGCACACCAGCTTCAACTGCCCCCAACTCAGCCTTTTCCTCCATCTTTTCAGGCACTACCTTGTCTGTGGCATCAGACTGGACAGTAGTCACTGAGGGTTCAAGAGTCCGAGGACCTGCAGAGATCCATGGATGATTAAGGCACTGAGCAGCTGTTGGCCTCTTTTCGGGGGTAAAATCAAGCATCGGAACAAGGAAGTCAGCCATGTCATTTGCATCTTGCTCACCAAAATCATACTTCTCCATCAGCACCTTACTAAGAGGCCAGAAACGCAACCGGCGGATGTGCCTTAAATCACCATGTCTATTAAAAAACTCGAGAGAATAGCGACCGCCTAGAGCAATCTAAAGGAAATATTACTTCAGTTTTGCAAATTAGAATAACTAAAGTGTTGACAATAATGAAGAATTATTTGCTGTAAACTACCACGTTGTTTCTTGAACACATGATGGTCACACAAACTAATAAAATAACTTTGATATTTTTCAGCAAGAAAAAGCATTCCTACCTTGCGAGGCATCATTCCAAGAAGTTCCATCATCAATGCCAAATGATCCTGAAAAGTAAGAAGTACAGTATCATCAAAAGACCATTCACTGAGGTTGAATTTCAATCACCGACGACATTTTAAATTATTGATCCAAACAGAAGAAATTGTTATCAAACCGTAGTAAAAAGTTCAGCTTTACCACTGGTATAGATTTGTGCATTTTTAGCAGGTATGAAGCAAGGACAACAAGTTTAAGAATATATGAAGTTATTTATGAAAGGTGGTGTCTGAGCATTATAGTTCAAGTGATCATTTCACCTACCACTCTATAAGCTTTCACCCATGAATGAAAAGTGGGGAAACTTTAGACAGAGAAATACCACTCTTGGTTCTTTGTATAGCTGATTTATAATTTCAAAATGTCATTGAAACAAGCAAATTTCTTTGAAGGGACGTTTAAGTTGTGTTCTGGCAATCTGTTAGCATATGGGTATTGACTTCGAGGAAAAGGCTTTATTTCAACTTTCATAAGAGAATGTTGAGTACAGAGTAGTTAAATCTGTAGTCAGAATAGAAACCACTCTTTACTCAACTAGTCTCCATACACCACAGATATCAAATAAAAAGACCTACATTAAAAGTTCAACAGTATGAGGCATTTTAAGAGGAAGACCTACTCAATTTTATTTTTCACATACAAGTAATACTACAAAGACTGAGTAAGGGATTTTCTATTTTCTACCAATTATTGGGCATATCTTCTATTTCTACCATTGGCCCTGTCCAAAATACATTTTTCATCATCCAATCAACAATTCTACAGTACTAAGCGAGACAATTTTCAAATCTCTGTTTGAATCAATGAATCTATATTTCAAACAATCTTCCTACGTCCCAAGAAAGAAAGATGTTATCAAAAGATGGGTTTTTGCTTCTTTTCTTAAATACTAAAAAACGCAGTTAAGAATTAGTCTACCAACTATGCTCATAGTTGAGAAAAATGATGCAAGCAAGAAAGCAACAGAAGCAAACTTCCCTGGAACTGTCATTATGCAACCATAAGAGCATGACAAGAAACAGAAGCGTACAGCAAATTGGCAGCCAGGCAAACACAAAGTGAACGGAACAGAGGAACTTGCATTCTATACTTAAACAGAAAAGCTCAATAGGAAACCAGTTCTGGGAAAAAGAAAAAAGGAAAAGGAAAAATGCAATTTGAATGGAAGAATTACCTCATCCCTTGAATAGTTGTCACCACTGTGGGGATCAAAAAGAACATCACCTGTGGAAAGCTCAAAGCAAATGCAAGCAAAAGACCATAAATCAGCCGGAGTTGAATATTTGCACCCAAGAATAACCTCAGGACACCTATACTGCCTTGTCTGAATATCATTCGTGAATTGCTTATAAGTCCAACAGGCATTTCCAAAATCAACCAGCTTGCATTTAAGATCAACAGCAGCAAGCAACTTTTTTTTCATGGAACGACTAACTCTCAGTTGACCATGAATACCTTTTGGGATGTCCTTGGTTTCAACAAGTTCAATTGATTCATCTTTGGTTACAAGACTACTAGATTTATCTTCAAAAGATTCCACAATCAGTTCCCCATCATCACCACAATCTTTTACTTCAGGTGGTTTAGAATCCTCTTCACCTTCCTTGGGACTCTCCTTCTCAACACAACTTTGAGCAGCCTTTTTAGCCTTTTTCCGCAATTTCTTTTTCTGGTTCCTGGTCAAATCCCCTTTTGAACTATTACTGTCTTTTGCGGCCCCATGTTTGGAAATGGCCTTATCCTTGGTATTTGGAAGGATAAGCGGAACACCTGATTTTCTAGGATCTTTGGATGGATCTATCATTGACAGAAGCAAGACATTCTCTGGCTTCAAATCTGTGTGTATTACAGATAGCTCACGATGCAAGTAATCCAATCCCACCAGAATATGGAAACAAATTTCTTTAACCAATGAGATAGGAATCCCCCGGTAATCACTATACTTTATAAGGGTCAGCAGATTGTCGCCCAAGAATTCAAAAACCATACACACATGCTGGCCATTAGGTCCTGAATGCTTGAAGTGATCCAAAAGCTTGACGACACTTTTCTTGTCATCCAAATCCCCTTCAGCAATCTGTTTGAGAATCTTTATTTCATCCATTGCAGCTTCGGTGTAGCGCTGGGCACTCTTTTGAATTTTTAGGGCTACATAACGCTACAAAAGAAATTCTCCAAAGTTTAGAGGACTACAAAATAAATTTACATCGTGAACTTGCGTTATTTAGGTTCTGAAAACAATATTATCACAAGTACATAGGGCCTATCTCCTAACATGAGATCGAGACACCAAATGATATCCTATATAAAAACAACATAAATTCCATTCTAAATCTTATATGAACAACGACGCCAAGAGGTTCAACCAAGACAGGTTCTATCCATGGAAAAGGGAGAATGGACTAAAAAGCACATTAAGCTTGGAAAAATATTTTGCCCCAAACATTAAACTTTACCACCCAGATGGCCACATTTCGCACAGGCCTAGAAAGCAAGAATTGGCTTAGGTTCAATATCATTTATTTTTCCAATAACTTTTTTCAGAAAGTTGATGAGGTCCACGTACCGATCTCTGGGTATCCCAAGCGAGCCAGACAGTAGAAAAATGACCCCAGCCGAGTTTGCTTTGCACCACGTAGCACCCATTTTTGAAAGTGTCACCAATTCGAACGGCGTGATAACCTCCTCGTCTGTAGTCCTCGGTCCCTTCGTCCTCCGAAGTATAATCACTTACCTCATTGCCATCACCGTTCCGATCCTCCGCCATCAAAGAACGCAAAAGCCACTATGCACTGTAGCAGCTATCTAAACAGGAGGGTTTCGATGACAAGTCAATATTGGCGCTAGCGGGAACTATAAACCGTTGAGTGAGATTAGGGTTCTTGAGCGATTCTTGCCGGGAAAATAAAGAATGTGTGAGTTGTTCCCCCCAAACAAAAAAAGAAAAGAATGTGAGATACAGTGACAAGAAGTGAAGCTATGCAGGAAGCCCCTCCTTTTAAATTCCCTTGTTCTGGGGCACAAAAACCTTCCCCCTCATGATGAGCAGTTCTAAACATGTACTTGCGTTTGCCTGTGTTAAATTTATTTTCAAGAAAATATGGAAAAAATCTTCTTTCGCCAAAAAAAAAAACTTCTTCTCTGTATTAATAAATAGATGACTATTTATGATAAAATTAGAATAAATATGAATAGAAGTAAAGGATTGAAGTTCTCACAGCAACATAATTAAAAAAAAAGTAATACTGCCTCCCGTCCTAAATATATATAAGACCTCATTTGATTTTGTCTCTAATATTTATGTATTTTTTTTAAATAATCTTTTTAATAATAATAGTTTTAGCCAACACATTTGATTAGTAAAGATATTTTAAGAAAACAATATTTATTTATTATATATAATTAATTTAACTTATTTTTTTAATTTTTTCAAATTAATCAATTAGCTCTTATAATTAGGACCGGAGATAGTAACAAATAAGCTAATCATATGTCAACACATTTTTTTTTGGTTCAACAGAGCCACAAGGTTTGACCAAAAAAGAAATGTTCTTTTTTTTTCCTCTTCATCATATGATACCAAACATAAGTTTATTTTAAGAAATATTTTTCCAGAATATTAATATGAATAAAAAAAATAAAACAGGCCCTGAATATGAATGTACAAAGTACAAACCGAAGTTCATGGAAAATATGTTTGTCAAGTTAAAAGAAAAGAAAGAAAGCTTCATAGCATGTGAAAATGTGTCAAAAACGGAAAACCAGCTGCAAATGCTCACCTTGCTCAATAAATAAATTTAATTATATTTGCATAAAAAATAAATTTAATTATTAAGCTTTTTAAGTTATATTTGCATAAAAAATAAATTTAATTATTAAGCTTTTTAAGTTTTAACTTAGTAGATATGAACTTTTTTTACTTTTAGAATTTATTCGTAAAAAGAAGTTATTTACATTTGACAAAATTCAAAAAACTGTTTTTTTAGCCAAAAAAACTATTTTTGAATCTGTATTGTATTTTGAAAACGAGAAGAATGAAAAAAAAAAAAAAAGGATATGCTACCATAAAAATAGAAATTCTACGTAGACCAAGGATGCATGTGGCATCTCCTGTATCTGACATCTGGAACTAGAACGAAAAAGGCGAGACAAAAGCTCAGTCTTTGCCATGATGAGTACGTTCTGGTCACATTCTCATATATATATATATATATATATATATATATATATATCATTCCAGATCTGATTTTTTATATGAATAGCTAATTAGCAAGGAGGATTATCTATATAACTCCTCCAATAGAAATGGCGGCGACTCTTCCGGGAGGGATTCTCACGGCGGCCATTATTGCATTATTTTTATGTCGGACGACGAGGACGGTGACATGTGAATTATTTCCGATGACCCTATCTCTTGAAAGGGCAATTCCGCTGAATAATAAAATGAAATTGAGTGAACTCAAAGCTAGGGACAGTGCTAGACATCGCAGGTTGATTCAATCTTCCAATGATACTGGTTTCACTCTTGAGGGCACATATGATCCTTACGGAGCCGGGTAAATTTTTTTTCTTAAATTTCTTTTCTGACCCGGGATCTGAGGTTTGTTCGTATTTATCTCATCCTTTAACGTTTCATGCATTGATTGACTTCATTTGCGAAGAACATAAAGGACCAAATTCGATCATAATAAATTATATGTTTTATCGGCAGGATTTATTATACAAAGGTGCAATTGGGTTCTCCCCCAAGAGATTTTCATTTGCAAGTAGACACAGGCAGCGACCCTCTCTGGGTCACCTGCAGCTCCTGTTCTGGCTGCCCCAACAAAACCGAACTTCAAGTAAGTAATTGAATTCCTCTTTCTTTGTTTTCTGATGGCTGTAGACTAATATATAGTTCTATGTTCATGATCAAGATCATTAATTGTTATACGTGCGTACAGATCGAGCTCAGTTCTTTCGATCCTGGGAAATCATCCACACACACACCAGTAACTTGTACAGACTCCATATGTAACAGCGAATATCAGTCCCCAGAAGCCATGTGTTCCAAAAATAATCGCTGCACTTACACATTCCAGTACGCCGATGATAGTGCCTCTGCTGGTTACTATGTTACTGATCTCATTCATTTTGCCACCCCAGTTTCCAACGGATCTTCACCTGTCATCTTCGGGTATATATGATCATAATAATAATTAATAACCCTCCATTGTAATTTTTACTCTTTCAAACATACATTAATTATTAATATACTGTACTGTTACCTTGTCTGTGTTATGTATGTAGAGCAGATGTAGCACGGAGTTGACGGGAAACTTGGCGACGAATAACAGTAGAGGAGTGGATGGGATAATAGGATTTGGGCGAGGGGACACTTCAGTTATATCACAGCTCTCGTCAAAAAGGTTGGTGCCAAAAGTATTCTCTCACTGCCTCCGAGGAGATGATCAGGGCGGAGGCACCTTGGTTCTTGGTGAGATTGTGGACCCCCATATTGTTTTTACTCCTCTCGTTCCTTCCAGGTATAATACTTTGATCTTCATCAACAACTTGTTATATACACGACCCAGTATTATTATTGTTGTTTTAAAGATCTGGGTGTGTCGGTGTGGGTGTATACACCCATATATTTCAGGACGCATTACAATTTAGACCTCAAGGGCATCGAGGTGAAAGGCCAAAACTTAGAGATTGATTCATCGGTTTTACAAGCATTAGAGAACCAAGGCACCGTTGTTGATTCTGGAACAACTATGGCGTACCTTCCTGATGTGGTTTACGACTCCTTCCTCAACGCGGTGCGTATTTCATATCGTTTTTACTGGAACTGAATGATCGATGCGTATCAAATTCATACACATACATTTTGAAGGCTCTTTTTAACGTAACTCTTCATTGATTTGAAAAAAAAGAAGTTGATATGTTCTTTTGATGTGCAGATTTCGGCTGCTACTCCAGTAGAATCGCTTACAGGCACTTACGTTGCAGATGGATATTCCCAATGTTTCTGGGCTAAGAAGAGGTTTTCTGGGCTATGCATCCATGTTTTCAATTGATTGCTTTCTGAAATTAATATATACTATTTTCGATCATGAATATAAGTTCTAGTTTGTAGATCAATTTAAACTAGAAACTAAGATCTTATATATATTAGGATTGGACTATAAACTAGAGCTTATATTAAATACCTTAGATAGTATTACAGATGAATTGAGCTTGACTCTCTCTCGATTTGTCTCTTTTTGTATGTTTGATGATTTGGTGTTGTTTAGCATCTCTGAAGTTTTCCCTAACGTAAGTTTGAACTTTGCGGGCGGCGCATCTATGGTTCTTAAACCCAAGGACTACCTTGTACTTCACATAACTTTAGTAAGTATATATTAAATTCAAGCTTCGTTATTTTTATTATATGTACATATCATTTTTCGAAAAGTTAAGCGTATAGAGGTGATCCTTTATGTATTGGTCTCCTACTGAGATGGGTGAAATACGTGTTATATATAGACTGACGGCGAAAAGGGGTGGTGTATTGGCATTCAGAAAATGGAAGGTTCTCAAGCGTTCACTATTTTAGGAGGTATATTTAATTTGCAAATTTTAATTCCAACTCTGATTGCAAGTACTGTTTTTAATTAGTTTATTTAATTATGTATAGCAATACTTCATGGAATTACTTTTTTTTTTTCCTTTCGCCAGATGGTACATGAAATTAATTATCTTTTAGGATATATATATATATGTACTCATGTGGCAATTTTTTTTTTTTTTGTTTTTCCTGGCAGATATAGTATTAAAAGATAGAATAATTGTTTATGATCTGGCTGGTCAACGTATTGGATGGGCTGACTATGACTGTGAGTTTTCTCTAAATTTTTATTAATTATATTAATGCACATATATATAATGAAGAAGTCAAGGCTTTTGTGTTGTAGACTAAAAGAAAGTCAAATATAATAGAAATCTAGATAATAAAATTTATATTTGTGGTTAAATTTAGTGATAACATATATCTCTCATGCAATTTAATTTGATTGATTGATTTCAGGTTCGAGGCCTTTCAACGTATCAGGAAAATTAAACAGAGCACCAGGGTCAAGGCGGGACGCGTCAAGGGGTTCGCCCCGTGAGGCAGGGACCTTAGCTTTCTTCCTATCGTTAATCTGCATCTTATTGTTTTTTAGCATATGTGCGTAGAGATAGACCCACACTACATGAATTAATTTAATTTATATTTTGAGAGGATTAGCTAATAATAAAATAGGAGGATGTATTGATACAAAATAGGAGGACGTGTCAATTTCAAGAAATATAGTCTGGGTACTATAATATTACTTCTGATTTATGAGTTAGATAACTCATTTATAAATATTTAAAAAATTTGTCAATCTAATTATTTATAATAAATAGATATTATTTTTTCCTAAAATATTCTCATGAATTATGTGTATTGAAATATTATTTCTTAACATATGTAATCACCACAGGCTTATTTGGTAACAAAATACATAAATATTAAAAACAAAGTGAATTAAGACCTTATATTTAGAATTAAATTAAATTTTTAACTATTTTTATATTAAGGACATGTAGTGTTTTCTAAACCTTTCTTCAAATAATTCATTTTTTTCTGCCAACCTTCAAATAATTCATTTGAGAAATTAAAAAAAATGAGGTTATTTTTTTTTAAAAAAAATTATGTTGGATTAATTAAACATGGCCTGCTCAACTCACCATAATTTTTAACTCACGCAGTCACGAGTTAAATAACTTCGGGGTTTTAAAAGCTAATCAGTTAGTGAAGTTTCAAAGCCAGCAACCATAAAATTAGTGATGAGGTTCAACCTGCGAACTTAGGGTCCGTTTGGATCAGCGATTGAAAAAGCAGCTTATTAAAAAAGTAGCTTATGGAAAAGTGAAATTGGATAAAAGTTAAATTGGATAAGCTGAATTGTGTTTGGATTGAAGTTCAGGAAAGTTAGCTTGTAAAAGTGAGATTGGTAAAAGGTTGTTTGGATTATGATTGAGTAAAAGTAAGTTTGGTTGTAAAATGACCAAAATAGATATGAGTTTTAATAAATAACAAAACATGATTAAAAAATGATTTCACGTAATATAATGAAATTAAAATAATTTAATATGAAGAAGTCATAAAAAACATTTTACATATAAAGTGAAACGTGAAAAAATAAAAGTATATTTTTAGAAGCATATTTAAAAATAAAAGTATACTTATAACTTATTTATTACTTTCAACTAATTTTAACTGATTTTTTATTATCTACAAATTAGTTATTTGAGGCTTATAATAAGAACCAAATAAGGTAATAAATTTCTTAACTTTTTCTCTCTCCATATTTCAAAAGTCATAAGTCATAAGCTATAAGCCATAAGCTGTTAATTTTAGCTTATAGCTTATTACAGCTTTTTATACAGAAGCCCGATTGCAAAAAAGCCCAACCAAATACTCAAAATTTTCCAATCGGACTTATAATAAAAATAAGCTGCTTATAAGCTGTTTATAAGTGATGCCAAACAGCCACTTAACTTGTCTGGAAATCAAACGTCGACCTGCCATGCAAAAGGGATTGATCCAGATTTGTTTTTCTGGGCCATGCCCTAGATCCAATGGCTCCCGATAATCCAATCCTCGAACGTCGCCAAATCATGCAGTCCTCTCCTGTCCGTAGACGGGAAGTTGTGGCGCAAGGGAGCTCCATGATTAGATACGCACGTAGGAGAGACGCACCGAGCAACGGGGAAAAATACAAAATAAAAAAATGCACACGCACACACAGTGCCTCCTGCCCAATTGATTAATTTAAAAAAATAAGAAAAATATTAAATTACCTTAAAATATTTATATATATCGTTTTTTTAAACTAATTTAGATTACTTATAAATTAATATACAATTCAATGATATGAATAAGTATTTTAAAAAAATCATGTAATATATACTATAATTAAATAATTTAATAGTTATTTTAATTTTTTAAATTTATTAATTGGGTCTTATGTTAAGGACGAAAAGTAATACATATGCATATATTATGTATGTATCTGTAAAAGATATGAGAAATATATATCTCTCTCAAACTACGGAGGGTAAAGGAGTCGATCTCTCGTATTTAGGTTATTAACATGTGCATGAAGGTTGGAATTTGAAGTCTCAACAGTCACTAATACTCTCATCAACTTAAGTTAGATATTAATATCAAATATTGCTAGAGGAGCATGAGCATTCTGCATTTTCTTTCCTTAAATTTATCTAATAATAAAGAGGTTGCTAGAAGACAACTCCTCCATCTATGTTCTTATCCTTCTCAATTACTACCTTCGATTCTAATTATAAGAGCTAGTTGATTAATTTGAGAAAATTAAAGAAAGAAGTTAAGTTAGTTATTTGTAATAAATAGGTGTTCCCCTTTCTAAAATATCTTTGCTAAGCAAGTGTATTGGTTAGAATTATCATTGTTAAAAGGACTATCTTAGAAAAAAATACATAAATATAAGAGACAAAGTGAATTGAGGTCTTATATTTAAGATCAAAATAAAAAGTCAAACAAGATCTTATATTAAGGACTGAAGGTAGTATTTTCTTTTTTCTTTCGGTGCCAATAATATATGAAGAAGATCTCAGGTCTCACCCTTGCATCTGTGTGTCATTTATATTTTTTCCCCTTCTTACCTCTTTAATTCCTTCCAGACAATAATCTTATCATTCGTTCGTCATTGACATGCCCCAATCCTTAGACCTTGAAATAGCAGCACCAATTAATTAATTAATAATATTGAACTGTTGTGGGTGTCTCATTTAATTAAAACTATTTCCCACTAACGGAGTTGACCTGTATAACGGAACATTTCAGTAATCCCACTTCCTTTGGATGATAAAAAATTCTTGGATGTACCTCACAATGCCACACATAAAATAAAAGGACAAATATCTGTTGTCTTGACAAGAGGCGGCACCATGGCATCGTGTGTTTGCTTATGGGGAGCACAATTGCTCACTGTTTCTCTCACAAACACCAGCAACGTGGATACATGATGATCCATTTACAGAATCCGTTCATTAACCATTGGTGGATTCCGCGTAAGACACAAACACAATGTCAAAATGATTATAATTAATACTACCTCCGGTCCTAATTATAAGACCCAATTGACTAATTTGGAGATATTAAAAAACTTAGTTAAGTTAGTTATTTGTAATGAATATATATTGTTTTTTCTAAAATATCCTTGCTAATTAAGTTTGTTATCTAAAACTATCATTATTAAAAGACTATCTTGGAAAAGAATAAATAAATATAAGAGACAAAATAGATTGAGGTCTTATATTTAGAATCAAAATAAAAGTCAAACAAAGTTTTATATTAAGGACCAGAGGTAGTAGTATTATTTCGCTAGGCTAGTTTTATTTTCTATATTATCAGTATATATATATCATCAATACCCATTATTCAGCACTCACAAGAGCGCCTGCGAATTATAGATTATAATTTTCCTGCCAGCTTTAGTTTCAGCACAATCTTAATGATCTCATTGAACACTGGTGAATACATTATTGTGGAGATCATAGTCTTTCTTCACCATTGTGGACCAGCTTTTTAGTTATATGAAATATTTTGGTTATTTAATGCTCGTAGGTCAGCTTGGTACTTAGCAATCCAGCCTTTGATTATCTTGACCTCAGATTTTCTCTGCATGACTAACCACTGAGGATCATTTGGTGTTGCTTCAAGAATGTCCAGGCAATGAGATCCTGCAATTTTTCAAAAACAATCATGTTAAAAAGCGTTAACAATTTACGCATCATATAACTCGGGATACTCAATAATAACAAAGAAATGCATATAACGGTAATAAAGATGACGTACCGTTGACTGTTGATACAGCAACGACACTATCTGATATACTCTCCAACACCCTGCGATCCGTTTTAGGATAAACAAAAGCAAAAAAAAGTGATTATGGTAATAAAGTAACATATAAAAATGAATTTGCACTTCAATATAACTTGTTTTACCCGCCAGAACTATAGGGATCTCTAAGACCATTGGAGAAGATGATGTTGCTTGCAAACCTACGGAGTTTCAGTTTCAAACCCTGCAATATCATATAAATCAAAAAGAAAATTTTTTTTGGATCTATTTATGGCACAAAGAAGGAATATTTGTGATAAATATATTGGAAACTACGTTTCATGAAGTTGAATAAATGATATACATACAGGACCCCCATAATAAGTAGTCACCCAGTGAGGCTGTGGAAGGACGCCATACAAGCTCCTACACTCTTTGACAAACGTTTTCATATTGAAAGGTGCTGGTGGGAACATTGAATCGCTCTCTTCGTGTCCGATTGGCATAACCATTTCGCTACAAGTCTGTTTATAAAAAGTCAATTCATTATCAACTCTCGACAAAAGATTCCAAGTAGGATGAGATTAAGCTTGATATTTGATATTCCTCCGGTCCTTATTATAAGACTCCATTTGACTTTTTATTTGGTCCTAATTATAAGACCCCAATCCATTTTGTTACTTATATTTATGTATTTTTTTCCAAGATAATCCTTCTAATAATGATAGTTTTAGCCAATATACTTAATTAGCAAGGATATTTTAGGAATAATAACACTTATTTATTACAAATAACCAACTTAACTTACTTCCTTAATCTCCTCAAATAAGTCAATTGGGTCTTATAATTAGGACCGGAGGAGTAGATAGAATGTGATTAGTTTCAGACCAGCCATATGTAAGTTACGCACCTGCCATCTCCATCCCATATTAGTTTGACTAGGATAATTGAATATATTCAAGTCATAGCATGATTTATTTTTCATAAAGGCGACAACACCTTCAAATATTTGATCAAGAATATTATTGGTTTTCTTAGCTGCCGCATCAATGGCTCCACAGATGGCCTTTACTGGATAGGAAGCAGGGTGATCATACTGAGCTGCCTCGGCATATACTGAGTCTAAGTAGTCCTTGAGCTCAGAACTGTGCCTCAGTTTTCTGAACAAGAAATAGAGATTAGTGTAATTTTATTTCATCAAATTAATTTGACCTAACAATAAATAATAATCTGCATACTTTCATCATCAGTATGATGGTATCAGCAGCATTTGACCTTAATCTGGCAATGTCTCACCTTGAAAACCAACCTTACTAATAGTAGAAAATCTGTTTTCATGCATCAAGATAAAACAAAACAAGACTTACTTGCAAGTTCTAAACATGGTGCTGAGAATTGAAAGGCCATTAGGCTTCTTTGCTACCCTGTCAATTTCAGACCATGATCTCCGTATAGTTTGGTAGCAACTCATACTAGTTTCCTGCATCACTCATATATGCGCCGTTTGCAATAATTAATTGTTCTTCAAGGATTAATTTAATGGTATGATCAGTACGTACTTTCTTAAACAGTTTTAAATTTGGAATAGATTAAATTACTTGAAAGTCCTTGGTAACAATATAGTAGTATCCTGCTCGTGGGGCGACGCCGTTGAAATAAAGAATCGGTGCTGATGAAGCCAGAGCCCCAAGAGCAACATGAGGATACTTTAGCCTGAACCATGATGCAAGCACTGCGCAATTAATTAGGAGAGTTAAATATATACTTAATTAGATAGGTGTGCAATAAATACTAAAATTTATTAGATATATTAATTGTTAAAATATATCGATGGGGTCATGACTTACTTCCACCATAGGAGCCTCCAATAACGATGACGGGAGAATTTCGAGCAGACAAGCTTTTCTTCAAGTGTAAAAGCACAGAAGCATAGTCTGCTATAGCTTGGGCTGAGTTGAAATAGCCACGAGTACTCGCATTTCTCATAGCTTCTTTCCATGAACCAAAGGGTATTGATTTCCCATAATACCTATGCTGTTAAAATTAAAGGCATGTAACAAAGTTAATAATTAATCTCTCTGAGATGATCACTGACACAGTGGGTAATTTATTACCTCAATATAAACAATGAGAGCATTGAAATGAGGGGCGTTTTCTCTGAGAAATCCAATAAAATTTATATCTGGATCCACAGGTGCTTCTGCTCCGAGGTATGCAAAAATCGGTGCACCTGATTTAGCGCCACCCCAGTACTTAAAATTTACGAAGTACCTTTGATGAAAAGTGGCGTAGCTGTCCGGCCTATAGTTGAAGTGATCGAGCCTTTGGGTGTAATAAAATGTCTTGAGATCCTCAGGTAGATTTGATGAGGAAGAAATGGTTCGGGGTTCATGTTGATGTGTTCTCTGCACAGTCCCCAACCTTGGAATGTTGAAAGCAGAAACACCAAGAGAGAAAACAAAGAAGGAAAGAGAAAACCATTGGTAGGAGCACACAAGGGATCTCATGGCTAAGAGTAGTCGTGAGTATTTAATTTCTACTAATTAGCTTGAATGTTTTAAGGTTGTATGCCCATATGTACATATATATACTAGATGATCTGACAATGTGCAAGCCAATATCACACATTATATTCGAATTAATTACATAAAGAGGGCATTATTTAAAAAATTAAGAAGATAAACTACATGTCATTATAATGGTGCTTCTCAGTTTATAAAATAGGAAACCATGCTACTGATGGAAATAGAATAATCCAGAAGGCTAAACCACGTGGCCTTTACCATCAATTTTTGTTTTTCCCGGTAGTGGTCACCATCAACTTTTTCTGTGTCTATATCAACTTGCAAAAACTTGTAATGGTTAAGGCCTTACAAACTAGTGTGCATTGCAGTTTTAGGAAGCACAGAAAGCTGGACTTGGTAATGATTCATGAAATACAAATACATATCATGAACCAAACAAAATAAGAGGACAAACTAGTGATGCTACTGAGTTATATAAAATAGTAAACCATGATATACACACGCGCACACACTAATAAACTTTTTCTGAGTCATGAACTTGCAAGTCGCAATGAAAGATTAATTGAGACCTTACAAACCTGAGTGCGTTGCAGTTTCATCAGGAAGCAGAGAAAAGTGGATACATATGTATCAATGACTCATAAATTCCTTGATTAATATTTAGTACTGAAGAAAATACACATGTCGAGGGGAAAACGTAAGGGAAATGAAGAGGGCATTGAGGGAATAATGAAATAACATAAACTGCTATGTTCAGGTTCGCGTATTTTAATTAGCTTAAGGAAAAGTTTGGACGGTAAACCATGTATATGAGTATTTGGCCATATATCATTGTTTTTCCTTTGGGTGAATTACCTTTGCCAATATAAAGACAAAAGATTACCTTTTATTCATGGATCATCAAATACCAAAAGTACAAAATCCTGTATTTTACATTGTCTGGCATTTTGTGGCAAATTCAGTCCATTTTGATAGCATTATGACAGCACCAGTGAACATAGTTAATTTTGAGCTATGTGGAGTTATTCTCTGGTGTGAATAGACCCGCAAGGTCACCAGACACACACGATCGAATATATAATTAGGGATTATTATTCAATTAATTGATCTCCAAGTGGACGCCCATTTATGCGGTGAAAAGCTGAACTTATGCCAACAGGATTAGACAAGGAAGCTGACTTTTTCCACTTTATGCGAACAAACCCATCAATCAAAGCTTCGATTTTTTCTTTACGGTAATGATGAAAGTAACTTTTGGTGTTAAAGACGGTGATTTCAGGGAAATCACTAAGAAAGTGGATGATGGGGGGCATGATCAGGAATACGTTAACTGAAGGGATATGCTTAAAGCTTCTTTTTTTTCCCCCCTTGGATGATGGATATATGCACAAAACGTTGAAAATTTGTAACAGGCCCAAAGAATGGAGTTAAGAGGAGGACGGGGAGGAACGTATTGGGTTAGGTAATGAATATTTCATTTATAAATTAAATGAATGACTAAATGGTGGGAAAAGAAATGCTGATAATACTTCGCAGTGATTTGATGTTTGCCCTCCTGATCTGAGGGTTATGGTGGAAAAGGAGAGCTTGGGAATTAATCCCATCTGATTTAATTTTCTGTTAAAGGCGAATCAAACAAACCTTAGCTGGCATAGAGATTATGTGGAAAATTTTTTGCAGATTACCTGGCTAAAGAAGCTCACCAACTGACTCAAGACATGTTGATCTTGCAAGATTTTCACCCGCAGGATATAAGGGAGTCTTCTTTTCTAGTTTGTTATTTCGTTTTTCTGTTTTTTTTTTTTTCAAGTTTTAACTTTCCTATGAAAAAAATTTAAACAATATTATTTTTGAATTTATTTTCATCGTCCATGGGATTTGAAAACTGGAGAACGAAGACGCTTCACGGAAGGCTGAACAGGTGGGCCCGAAAAAGATGGCCTTTAAGTAGGCAAATGCAGTGCGTCTCGCGGAGCAAACTGAAGAAGCCGTCGTGGATGATTGATAGTTTCGGCGCAACCTCACCTTTCTTCGTCTTTCGTTTCCCCAGATGACCTCTATTCATTCTACGATTTGCAAGTGAAGATGATGATGATGATCTTGGACCACTATTATCAACTTTGGTTCTGCTTTTGTCCTCCAAATTGTCAAAAACCTCAGAGCTCCGCAGTGTAGGTGGCTCAGCTTCCCTCCTCGCTAATTCTTTCCAACCTTTGTTCCGGCGGCTTCTACATAGCTTATGAGAAGTCCCTCCTTCAGATTCTGAATTTAAACGCCGATTGTCGTCAGCTTGGACCTTTGATATCGTTCTTTTGGGAGATCGATCGTCTTGCAAATCTTTCGGCTGTAAATACAAATCAATGTTCAGAGTCAAGTGATCCCACAGCCAGCATACAAATGAACCACTGTCATCCCCTGAGATATGATTCAACTCATTCCTTGCTTCTTTTTTGCGCCTGCCATTCCTCAATCACATGATGACGTAATCAACAAGAATGCCATCGGTGGAATCCCCGATCAGCTCCTCCAGCTTCTCCTTCACTCTTTCTCTGAGCTTCAACTCCCCGTCAACCGTGAAATTAGCCTTGAATGTCCCGTCATTTACCCCATCCACGTTCGCCATTTCCAACTAACAGAACCTAAACACCAGCTCTTGTATCTACCGCAATCGAAAACCCTAAGAAGGAAAAAAAAAAACTCAACTCTAATTGCTATGCTCGACAAACCCTAACTAACACGCAAATAAGGACGATCAAAATCTGCCACCAAGAGGTTAAAAATTTTGAACACTCGACAGTTAGGGTTTGTTTGGTTGGAGAGAAGGGGAGGGGAGGGGACCAGATGGGAAATAAGCCCCTCCCCTCATCTGGTTAAAAATTTTGGAGGGTAGAGGAGCTAAAATATTCCCTCCCCTCCCCCCCATTTTGGCTCTCCTCCAAATTGGGAGTTTTTGGAGGGGAGCCAAATTTTTAGACCATTATGTTTTTATAATTTTTTTAATATTCTACTTCTACCCATAAAATATATTATTATAATATTTATTTTAAATAAAAAATATATTATCCTAAGTAAAAAAAATAAAAAATATATACATTATTATAATTAAAAATATATTATAAAAAATTATTTAAATAAAAAATTATAAAATTATAAAATTAATTTTTTATAAATATATTATTTATTAAATATATTTTAAAGCTGGAAAAAAGATAGCCTAAAGAGAATAAAATTTCATTTTTCTTAGAGCATATAAAATTTGTTAATTTGATTATTTAAATATATTATTATATTAATTAGAATAAAAAATTACTGTACCAATTTTTTAATACACATATTAATATGATAAGACTGAATTTTTATTAAATTATATGATTTAAATTAAGATGTAAATTAATTTATATAATATATCAATAAAAAACATAAACTAATATGTAAGGGTAAAATGGTAAATTGATTATTACTATCCCTCCCCTCCCCTCCTTGAACCAAACAAGAGATCGTTAAATATCTTTTCCTCCCTTCCTTTTTAATCAAACCATCAAGATGAGGATGAAACCTCTCTTCCCCTCCCCTACCCCTCCCTCCCTTCCCTTCCCTTCCCTTCCCTCCCCTCTCCTACCCTCCCCTCAAACCAAACAGGCCCTTAAGAGGATGGGACCGAGGAAGATTTGGGGCCTTGGCGGGAGAAAACGCCTCTGAAGGGTTTTCGCGGAGCCGGGGAGGGAAGTGAAAGAGAATCGGCAAGGAACGACCAATTGCGAAGCCAAAATCGCCATTCAGTGGCCCCTGCGAGACCTCATTTAATTTGCCCATTGGAAAATGTGCATTCGTAATTAAGGAGAAAATATATGCAACGTACTGCGAACGGGAGAGACGCGAAACAGTTTTTATTTTTTGTATAATGATTGACCGCTATTAGCAATTTGACTTCAGTATTATTTATGTATATGAATTCATATATATATATATGTGTGTGTGTGTGTGTGCGTGTGTAATTTATAAATAATTGATGTTACTGTCATATAAATGATAGCATATCAAAGATTCTATCGAGTTACTTGAGTACATGAAAAATTTTAGAGTTCCAATGGTTAAAATTTAAAGTTTTATATCTATGATTTTTATCAATAATTTCATGCTTCTAGAAAGCGGTATAATCAAAAGATTAACTTAATTTAAAATTTATAATAATTTTAAATATAGATGCCCAAATTGTAAACAACAATAAAAGAGGAGAGGGGCAGGACATATGTACGAAATGCAAATCCGGATTGTATTATGGAAGCACTTGCATACTTATGAGTAGACTACTAAAATTTAGACATGAATGACTAGACGCGCCCTTCAATTGTCAATCTAATTAATGGGATATTGATGAGTTACCTAAATGAAAAACCTAATTAAAATATCCGGCCAATCCGAAATCAACGTAAACCAATTCCATGCTCAGAATATTGTCTCACACGTGGCAATTGAGACGACGAACCCATGAACTGAAAAAAGGGTGAAAGAGTTCAGGGTTATTTTACGAAAACAGATCTGTCAGTCTCATCATCGGGGTTCCCTCTCCAACTACATTGAAAAAACAGCTGGATGTTCTATTTTTGGGAATTTTGCGTTTTGTGATTAAGTGATTAAAACTGAATGGAACTGGCAAAACTCTTACCTTGTGCGATCTATTTAAGGTGCTGATCATGGTGTTAATTCCCTGCTTTTCACTGTCAGGTGCAAAGTAATTGAGATACTTGCTAATGGTGCTTGTGCATTGGTTGAATGGGAACTAGAAAGCGGACGTACTCATCAGATATTTTGAAGATTTGGTGTTATTGGTTCATGATACCATCATGTTGGTGGGATCTTTGGATAATTTGAGGGGACAACTGAGCAACATAGCAAAAGAAGTGTTGGATTGAAGCTTTTGCAGGATCCCCCCCTTCTTCAAGGCCTTAGCTTGATAGTTGAAGATATCATCTAAGTAATGA